CTGGCTTTGCTGGGAGATGCCTCGCCGCCGCCAGGCCTCTCTAGCGCATCGCTCTGAGGTTAACCTGGATGCTTCAGGCGGGCTCTCTTCTATAGGGGCCTCCCGAAGGACGCATCTGTTCAACGAATTTGCGGCTTGGGCTTCAGCTGAACTTCGGTGCCAGTTTTCTCAAATCTGCAGCACAGGGCTTCTCTTAGGCACTGCGTTGATTGGTTACGGAAAGTTCTTGTTCTACTCCGGCGCTCCAAAGTATACATTTTCTGAGACCATCAATGCTTGTGCAGACAGATTCAAGCATTACGATCGTTTTACGCGGCAGCTTGGGCGGTCCTTTCAAGATGGGAGGAAGAGGAGCCCGGGGAACGGTCGATGATCATACCTGTTGCAGTGTTCAAAGCCGCAGTGTGTCTGGCTGTCCTGTGGAACTGGCCAGTGTTTGCAGCGGGCCTTCTTCCAGGCTTCAACGGACTGCTCAGGCCTGGGGAATTCCTTTTTCTCAGGCGTCGTGATCTGATTCTTCCCCGCGATGGCTTTCAGATTTGCCGCTGGCTTACGTTCGCATCCTTGGCGCCAAAACCAAGCGGTACATGCAAAGACAACATGCCAAGATTTCTGATACAACCACAGTGCTCTTTTTGGACAAGCTCTTCGGTCACCTAGCGCCTTCAGTTCCTCTTTTCAACTCTTCCCCGGGGGTTTTTTAGGCGCCGTTGGGATGCTCTCTTTGAACGTCTAGGCGTTCCAACTGGTGAGTCAGCAAAAGGTATCACTCCAAAGTGCTTGAGAGGGTCAGGTGCAACTTGGATGTACCAACTGTCCGAAGACATCCCTCGCATCCAGTGGCGAGGCAGGTGGCAGCAAAGGCGCACATTAGAGCATTATCTTCAAGATGTGGCTGGTCAGATTCTCCTCTCCGATGTGGCAGAGAGCCACCGTGAGTCGATTCTTCTCTTGGCCAAGTTCTGTTTGCCGGTTCTCAAGGCTGCTGGCTGTACTTTCTAGCCAAGGCACGATACATAGTTGGAGAGTTTTCTTTCACACGTGTTTCAAAGGCATCTTTGGCCCGTAGGGACTTAGAAATGCCTACAATCCTCGCTGGCCAGCTTGCGCAAACTTTGTTCTCTGCCGCGGCCGACTCGGGACACTTTACGTAGCGTGCAAAAGAGAGTGGGCATCCATGACTCAGATGGATTCTCATGAACGGTGCCCGCGCAGCTTTTCTGGGCCCTCCCGCCCTCCCGGGTTGGGTGTGTTGGATCTATTGTTGGACTGGGCCCCGCCTAGCAAAGCACCAAAGTCTGTAGGTAATGGAGGTGAG